AAAAAATCACATGGTTGCAACGATGACATGGAAAAATGCTCAGTCACTATGTAGGAGGAAAGTCATAAACCCAAAAAAAGACATCACTGTCATGAAGAGTTGATCTGAGCAGAGGTTATGCACGAGCTTCACGCTGGGAATATTCCCGACTACGCTCACAACAAGTCATGTGATCGCCTGCCGGGGGTTAGGTTTCACCGGGGAATTGTTTCGCTCCTCTGCAGTTGTCTGTGGGGAATCTTGCATCTGTTACCCAGATGACTGACATCACAGTACCAGTTTTCCCACAGTGGTCAAAAAAGGTCAAAGTTAAATTTTTTTTCAGATCAGTCATATTTGGGCTAATTTGCTTCGCAGTCTAAACTGTTGTCGTTGTTAAAGCTTTAATAATATACAGGCAACATTTTAAAATTGTCACACATGTACAGTGTATAAACAAGTTCAGTTTTCTAACGGTTGGCACGCCTGCCTCACAGTTCCGAAGGCTGGGATTTGAATTTTGGCTCCATTTTTCTTGTGTGCAGTTTGTGGGTATTGCGGCTTTCTCCCTCATTCCAAAAACATGCAGTGATTGATGTGATTTGGGCATCAACATGGGTTGCGCATGATTAAAACGTGCTTGATTAAAACTATATCGTTTGAATATTTTGGAGAAGGCGACTACAAAATTACATCAGCTGACAAAATTTTTCAATTCGGATTGTCAAAATCTGCCCATTTTATTTCACATTTTCCCATGTGGACTCCTTCCGTCGTGTGAAGTGGCATAAGCCCTGCGGTGGACAGCTGCCCAGTGTTTGGGATATTAACAGCTGTGAACTTTTAAACTGGCAGCTATTCGAGAGTCAATGGCAGCGTCCCACTAACTTGTTATTTTCATCACTTCCTCGGAGCTCTTAGACTTTATTACCATTTCCACTTTTCATGAAAGCACACAAACACCATTCATATTCACAAAGCGTAAAAGAAAGCAACAAACTTATTGACATGCACATTGTGACAGTATAATGACCAATACATCTCAAATGACCTCGAGCAGGACAAGTGGTGAACTATTTATGGCCAGCAACTAAAATAATGAGGTCATCATGAAGAAGATCACTTTTTTTTTTTTTTTTTGGTCAATGTCACTAGAAATTAGTAATCCACTGTTACATGAATGTACACACACACAATGGCTCAGATTTATGTTTCATTTTTAAACAACAGTTTAAAAATGTATTTACATTTTATTGTATTTTTTTTTTTATACCTCATATGTACACTACTGGAGTTCATGAGCACACTCGTTCGGCTGGTTGCCATTTACTGCAACACCTTTTGCCTCCTTTCTAAGAGGAATGAGCGCCTCATAACACACATTAGCACCTAGATATATATATATATATTTTTTTTTTTATTCTGTCTCGGTCAAGACTAAACATTTATTTTACTCTTCGATCAGCCGCCGATGTTTACTTTTACCCTTCATCGTGGCAGCAGCCCACTTCCCCCGCCCCGGCTCTAAAAATAATTCCTCGGCCAGATAAAAGTTGGTAGTTCTTGATACAAACTGAAATCTTGGAGTGGATTTGGTACTTAGGGAGGACACAAAAGGACACTCTGTTCAGTTTCCAGTGAAGAGGACACTGTCAAAGCGGTCCTTCGACATGTCCAAGGTGTGCCCTGATTAAGACCACAGTGAAAGATGGCCGCTCTCGCAGGTCTCAAAGGGGAGACACTGATACACTGGTCGAGGTGATAGCGAGATGTCTAAAATTAGTGTTGTCAGAATGCTTTGTGATAAGACAGATGTCGCACCCTCTGTCACTTTGTTCAAGACGCATCGAATGCTATGGTTCACCTTATGGAACTACGGGCCCAATTTACTCAGATCCCAAATAGCGGACGCTGAATTACAAGTATCAGATAGAACGTACGAAACTCCAATTCACGTCACGCTGCGTGGCGACAACCATTCCGCATCGAGAACACGCTCGCATCTCACACGACGCCCATCAACAACGGCAGCGAAACAATCGCCGCTGGTCGGGAACACTGACAACTTTCTGATAACTTCTTGCTATCAATATCGGGACCGTACCAAAAAAAGATGTGGCCTGGAGAATGATAAGCGAGGAAATGGACCTATCTGGTCAGTACTACTTGTTTACGACGGTCCGTTGTAGCCTACTTTAGCTTGAAACAAGCTAACAATAGCATTAGCAACACCTACACGCTAATTCAGTCTCGCTCACACGCACGCTCTTGATTACGAAATTGGAGAAAATGGCGTTGATCATCTCCGTTACGTGTGTGTGGCAAAAAGGGACATCAAAAACTCAAATTATTATGAATATTATTTTTAGTTATGGCATTGAACGTTTAAAAAAAAAAAAAGGCTTCTCCCTTTTAGGTAGCTGTGCTGGTTTTCTCATTAAGGAAACATTTCGGAGAGCTCCGCAAGTGCAAAATGAATTTTGAAGCAAAGGAAAGGCAACTGAACATTTTAGTTGTGACAGAAAATAAATCACTTCAATAATTTTTTGTGGGGGATGGGGCAGCAGAACCGCCATGTTTTGTTTCATTGAACTTGTCCCCAGTGTGCGGGAATTAAATGGACGGTATGTGCCCGCCAAGCGTAACATTGCCTTTCAAATTTGGGACGTAAATGTTGCAGTTGTAAATGAGGCCTCATGAGTGACTAGAATGCTCAAGCGTAAGCAAATCCCCCGCTGTCGGCTTTTTTGCACTGGCTGAATTTTGCACACAATGCATCATGGCACAAGTGTCACGTTGTTGTGATGATAACATAATCTGCATGACTACGTTGACACTGCAGATAGCGATTTGAACTCGCCACAACCAGAAAAGATGTTCAGTACATGTCCAAGTGTACAAAGTGGAGCTCCGAGAGAAGCCGATGTCAGCTTAGCTCGGTACAAATCATCATAGTTTGTACTAAAAGTCACCTCCACATTTTGTTGTTCTGACATACCGGTCATTAATTTGCATGAATGTTTCATGTCTTTTTAAAATTAAAAAAAAAATAAGAAGAAGAAGAATAAATAAATAAAAGCCAAAGTGTGCTCGGTTGGTTGAAAAACTTCCCTTTCCGTTATTTTAGCCATTACTCCACTTGTACTTGCGGATGTTAGATTTCTTTTTGTCCAATCAGATTTCACCCTCAGTCTTGCCACGTCAATCGAGTCCGCCCGTAGCCTTCAGAGTAGTATCGTGCTGTCCATTGCAACTTCAACTACTGTATCGTAACAATGGCATTATTTCAAATCAGATTTCAGATGTGTCCTCTCGGGCCTTAGCATCGGGGCTCGCTGAGCTCATTATTTTCCTGCCATCTGATTGGTTGGTCAGAGCAAAATGGGTTCCAGGCTACTCGCAAAAAATAACGTTTGTAGCAAACGGCACACATAATGCATCTAATAATCTGCAGCTTTCGTGAATATGATGTACAGTTCCCTCCAAAAGTATTGGAACAGCAACGTCAATTGTTTTTGTTGTCTAACTGAAGATGAAAAGATGATTATGAGACAAAAGTTCACGGTTCCAGCTTTTATTGGCAATAACTGCATCGAGCCTGCGATCCACTGACTTCACCAGACAGCTGCATTCTTCACCTGAAATGCTTTTCCAGGCCTCTACTGCAGCCTATTCCAGTTCTTCTTTCGAGGGGTTTCTCTCTCCAGGCTCCTCTTCAGGAGGTAAAATGCATGCTCTATTGGGTTAAGGTCAGGTGATTGGCAAGCCCAGACTTTCTAGTCTTTCCCTTTGATGAACTCGTTTGGTGTGTTTTGGGTCATTTTCTTGTTGCATGATGAAGCTTGTTTGGATGCTCCCCCCGGTGTAAATTACCTGACAAAATGGTTTTGTCGACCTCAGAATTCATTCTTGCTGCTGAATTCATTCATGAGTTCCATCCTATGCACAGCCGCCACGGGGTCGCGCCCTGCGGTGAAGCCTCAGTGGCAGGAAACGCTTCTATTTGGAAGCGTCGAATGGGTGCAGCCATTGTCTCCCCCACCGCCTCGCTGCAGCTTCAGCCCCGGAGTTGTGTAAACAGATTGAAATGGTGGGGGGAAGCCACGGAACATCTGAGAACAGCTCTGATCAAAGGCGCCTTCAGATGAAACCTGCGTGCAGTGAGTGTCCCACAAGGAGATGACAGACACAGATGCGTCTGGTGTGGTTGCTTCAGTGCTCCCCATCCCAAGTCTTCCCCTCCCTTTTTTTTTTCCTTGGATTTTACCGCAAGTGTTTGCACAACAGAAGTCAATGAGAGCCCACCTGCCCTCCGGCCTCACGCGGCATCATGTGACCTCCTCCCGCTCTCCTCGACTGGATGCTCACACACAGCAACCTTCATTACAAGTAGCAACACGTGGTTCTCTCACAAATGACTCCGAGCGGATTCGAGGGGACCGAGTATTCAATGATTATATTCCGCTTTTGCGCTCGGTGAGGGAAATATTTCAGTCCATGTTTCAGTTGCTTGAAGTTCAAACTATTGCCCTCCTCACACACCAAAAAAAGATGTTATTTATTATGTACAATAATACAATCATAACAAAAGTATGAATATATATAAAAAAATACAATTATATGAATTTTGTTTATTAAATGTAAACTGGAAATGTAATGATATAATTCAAGAATAATTGCAAATTGTTATATAATAATATGAAAAAATATTCATGCAACATTTTTAAAATAAAAATTATCTTAAAAAAACCTAATTATAACTTCAAATAAAATAATATAAATTATTCATATAAATGACAAATAATTGGCTTAATATTTTTTTCATCAACTAAAAAAAGTAATAAAATATAAATATAGAGAAAACTACCTCGATTATACTATAAATACATTACAAAGTCAATTACAATTAATGAAAACTAGCAGAACATAACACCACAGTTTGTTAGCATCAGGGAAGCCAGGGTGCAAATGAAACTCAATTTGGGTGTACAGGAGGTTTTTTTTTGTTGTTTTTTTTTTTTAATACCTGGGCAATTTTTTTTAGACCTTCAAACTTCATCTGGGATTTCATTATAAATTGGATTCTTCTTTCCGCTAAAATCACTTCAACACAGCACCATTTCTTGTTCGAGATATTACTTAGCATTCACACAATTACACATAACAACTATAAGGGGGGCCCTGAGAGAAAACGAGTGACAGTGAATGTGCACATTCAACAACCAAAAAAAAAAAAAAAAAAGCTTTGACAACACCATTCTTCCTGTTTTTGAGCTCGGAAGAGACAAGCTGACTTGGTCACCGAAGAAATCCGTTTTGACAAAAAGAGACCAGGAGTAAAGTAAACGTCCTTCCGGGAATTCTGAACTCTTTTCGCACATTATTGTTCGACGTGACGCCGCATGAGAGCTTCTTTCGGTTCCATCAAGTCCAATCCCGTGGCAGAGGGACCACCCATCCACTCGGTCATTCATTCTCTTGTGCTTATTCACAGGCCTGCCTGGCTCACTGCTCCTGGTCAGGTTGAGGGGAAGGGGTGGAGGGCTACGAAAAGTAGGGACCAGGACGACAGGGGTCCCGCACTGCTTATAGGTCACGGACCGGACGAGGCCGCTTCAAGGAGGTCTCCTGCTGCGACGGGCTTTGATCGGCCACTCGGCTTCACGGAACAATCGTGGGCTTGACAACCCCGTCCGAGGTGGCGGGCTTGGCGAGAGGTTCGCAGTAGGGTGGGCTCACGTCGTACGTGCTGGTGACGTTGACATTGACAGTGATGGGGGGGGTGGGGGGACAACGTGTTGACCTAAGTGGCTGTGTGGAAGGCGAGTGGGAGTGCATGAGCATTGGCAGAGGTGGCAGACATGCTCACATGCCACATGAATGGAAATGCCATTAGTTAATTGCGTCTTGGCCACTGGGGGCAGTATTGTGCACCTAACCAGATAACTCAGGAAGCTACAGTAACACTATTTATTTTCCCCGCAGAGGATAAATAATATATGGCTGTGAGTATTATTGTGCGTCTGGAAGGGGTGCAACACCTCCACACGGATGCCATTCGTTAGCCTCTCTATGGCATTTTGTGTTAGCATTACGCTAGCAGACAGCTTCTGAGTCAGGTGGTCGTTTCAAGGACACAACGTGTAATTATCTTTGTTTTACGTTTAGTTTGACTGTAAGCTTCAACTGCTAAACTGCTGATGGTTGTGAAGTGAGGTGAGTTCGGACACTTTGCTCATAAGTCAAAGCAAATCGTTGGCCAGGCACAAGCTTGCTTGTTGGGGAAAAAAAAATGAGTGTTTGCGAGTACGTAAAACTGCTTGGGATCGTCTGGCGAACGTCTTTGCAACTGTTTGCAATGTTGAACGGACCCTGACAAAAAAATAAATAAAATTAAAAAAAAGAAAAAAAAAAAACATTCGCTACATATGCACAAACTAATTTTCAAAATAAAAATATTTGATAGCCGCAGCCCTACGTCTGTATACACTACATTATATTTCACTTGATCCACTGCGGCATCGCATAGCTGTGTCCATACGTCTTCTACTTGGATATTAATCAAAGAGAGAAGAAATCTTCCATTGACTGTCATGTTTTTGCGAAGGATTGCCTTGATGGAGCCCACACGTCATCCCCCCCCGCCCCCGCCCCCGCCCCTTCCCACAGAT